GTAATTTGAAAGAAAAAAAAGAAAAAAAAAGAAAAACAAAAAAAAGAAAAAAAAAAGTGCTAAAAATACCAAAAGAAACTCTCAGCTTATAGAGCTGAGAGAAGAAACACCTCCGATCCAAATGGGGTTTACTTTTTATCCGACGTAGTCTCGGGACGACTTCCGCTGTCGATTTAGGGTGCCGGAAATTCGGGCGCTTGAAATTCAGGCGCCGGAAAATCGGATCCTGAAAGTCTGTTAGATGCTGTTGCGAATATGAGAAGTGGAAGCTACTTACATTCGTGCTAGCGCCTTGTTGATGGAGGTTATAGACGTGTTATGACTTAAGTAAGAGTTAGTGAAATTTCGCCGGCCGGGTAGAGTCAATCGACGGCGAGGGTAGCAGCGGAGAATTTTCGGAAAGGGAGGGAAGCTTTTATATCACCTCCCTCCATGCCGGCCTTTCTAATACATTCCAGCAACTTAGGAGTCTCGAGTAGCTCTCTATTCTCTTCCGAGTGCCGTGCGTATTGCTCTTCTGATCATTGTGCAGTTATCTCGCGCGTATACTCAGCTCACCATGCTCGCTCAGATTCTCAATATGCGCGGTTCCCTACCAAAACAACCACCGAAAGTTTCTTCTATACTTGCTACATGCGATACTTCTTGTACTTTGCATCCATTCATCTGAGGGTGCTCAATTCGCAAGATTCCCCAAGGAGATTCGGCGCAAGGTGTGGAGACTCAGCTTGCCAGGACCCCGAATGGTGGAGCTGAACTACAACCCCAGCTTCCACGTCGTCTCGCCTACCAGAAACCCGATCCAGCTCCAGATCTGCCACGAATCGCGCGAGGAGGCCCTGATGAAGCTCGACCTGGTCTTCCATCCCGGAGCTCCCAATCCACCGATCTACGTCCACGCCAGCACGGACACGTTGTACTTCTCCGACCAGTACACCAACCAGTACCCCGGCGCCGTCAACAGAGGAACCCTGTGGGCACACTACCCGCACTACCTCTTCTGCATGACACTGAACATGCAACCCACCGTCACCCAGACCATCAAGCACCTGGCCATCAACCTCGAGCAGGAAAAGTGGGGTCCCGTCCGCTGCACCGACACGCCCTCTCGCACCTTGGTCCTCGCCCGCTTCCCCAACCTCGCCTCCGTCTCCGCCATCGTCGAGAGCAAGACCCGCAACCGGAGCAACGGCAGCTACCTGCTCGTGCACCCCGGCGCGGCCGGCATCCACCTCAGGCGCGACGACGTCTCGGGCCCGCGCATCTGCATCCACGACCACCCGGCCGACGCGGTGCCGACGGCGCTCTGCCTGCGGTGCCTCTCCGTCGGCGTGATCATGAGCGCGCGGAGTGCTCCGCTGGGGGACTTCGGTCTCGTCGCTCCGGCCATGGAGATGGAGATGGCGATCCTGGCGCTCCTGAGGAACGAGCCGGGGACGGGAGGGCCGAGGGCGGAGCTCAAGTTTGTATTCGAGGAGGGACAGGGACCGCTGCGTTGAGGGGCGTGCCGTTGCGCGTGTGTGTGTGGTGCTCTGCTGACTGGAGCGGTCGCTGGGCATATCGCGAGGAGATTCTTGGGCGGGGGATGATGCTACTACTACTAGTAGGTGTGGCTTCGTCGGGCATCGGCTCACTGGCTCTCTTATGGTATGGAACTGCGTGAGGACCTGGTCATAAGCGAGCACATTAGCTTTCTCTCGAGTTTGCGCTGAACACAAGTCCCGTCAAGCAAGCAAGCAAGCAAGCAAGCAATCCTGATCTGAATGAATGAATGGATGAATGAATACTCATTGTGAATCGCCTGTTTATCTACTTACTCGTTTCATTTGCTATATGGTAGCTACATAACCATAGAATCAAAGGCCTTCCTTCCATAAAGAAAGGGAGACTTGATGTCTGCTGGGTTCATTCAGTCACCCACTCACCCACCCACCTTTCCTCTCCTACCCTCCCCTACCCTCTCCTACCCTCTCCTACCCTCTTCCATCCTCACAACCACAGCAAACCACAACCACAAAAGACGCCTCCTCACCGACAGCCACAGCACTCCATTCCACAACCCCGCCCGCCACCCAGCTATCCCACCCCATCCCATCCCGTCCATCTAGCTCTACCTACCGATTCCCGCGAACCAACTCTACCAGCCAGATAGAAAAACATCGTAGACCCCCCCCCCCCCCTCTGCCACGCACCCCTCAAGTAAACAAAAGTCTCGGCTAAGCTAAGATCTCCTAGCCGAAGCACTCATGCACTCATGCACTCATGCACTCATGCACCAGTGAAACCTGCACATCCCTGCCTGCCCCCCCTTAGTCCGTACTTAACCTGACCTTGCTTACTTAACCTTACTTAACCTTACTTTACTTACTTTACCTTACTTTACTTACTTTACTTACTTTACTTCCTTTACTTACTTTACTTACTTTACTTACTTTACTTCCTTTACTTCCTTTACTTCTTTAACTTACTTAACTTACTTAACTTACTTTACTTACTTTACTTACTTTACTTACTTTACTTACCATACTTCCTTTACTTACTTTATTTACTTTTACTCTACTTACCATACCTACCCCCCTTTTCCTCCAGCCTCAAATAGTCAAAGAGCATAGCACACACAACACACACACAACACAACACAGCACAGCACAACACACACAGCACACACAACACACAGCACAACGCACGAATAAGACACGAAACGATACTTTCAGGAGCCCTAGACCCGCCTCCGAGGGAAAGCTATATATAGAAAAAAAAAAAAAAAAAAGAGAAGAAGAAGAGGAAAGCAAGCAAGTAAGCAGGTAGCAGATGCAAAAGGAAATCAATCAACAATTCCTCTCAGCCGACGACGGGAAAAGGCGCGGGCGGCTGCAGCACGGATAGTATCGATCGAGGTGCTCAACTCGATGGATGTATATTCTCTCTCTCTCTCTCTCTCACTCTCACTCACACACACTCTCTCTCTCTCTCAGTCATGTATACCCGTATACGTACAAACAAACAATCGTACAATGCAAATCTGCTACTCTAGTTTCCATCCGGTGCGTTCATCGCTTTCTACACAGATCCAGCCAGACCTATCATATCACCTGTACAAGTCTGCTCCTTGTTTGTTGGCTTCGCAGCGAGCGAGGTGACGAGGTCTAGCGGTTATTGACACTGGCCGCGAGTATACAGCCGACTACCTTCCTTTTTTTTTTTTTTTCTTTTTTCTCCATTTTTCCATTTTTCATCTTCTGATCTGATCTGATCTCATCTCATCTCCCTTCACTTTCTAAACGGACGTGGTTTCACCCAGGGAACAAGGGCTGATATAGCGAGGACCAAATCGTCGCCCTCATCCAGTCAACCACTGCAGTGCACTGCATTGCATTGCATTACTCCTCTCGCTGGCGGCGGTTCTCACAGTCGTGCTGCAATGGTGTGTATGGGGAGGAGAGGATAGGCGATTCTGCTACGAGTCGTCGATCAGGATCCAAGTCTCTGGTTCGGATGGTGGGGGTGGGGACGGGGGTGGATGTGGATGTGGATGTGGGTGGGAGGTGGTGATGAATGTCCAGTCTCCAAGGTCGGCGTCTAGTACTGACGAAGGTGGGATAGGGATCGTGGTGTCACTGTTATCCAGATGAGGGGGCGGCAGGGACTGGAAGGGGGAATCCAGTAATGGAAGGGTATCGGCGCGGTGTTGAATCGGGGGTGTACCAGGAGATGGTGAGGCTGGGAGGGACAGCAAGCGGGGGGTGTTGACGTCGTCGGTCAGAGAGGAGAGCGGGAGATGCAGTGGGATGGAAGGCCGTGGCGAAGGCCGCTGGGACCGTTGCGGTTTGCCGTGCCGGAGGATGAACATGGGGGCTGGACACTCGACGGGCACGCCGCATGCAACGGTGTTGGACTCGTCCTCTGGTGCAAGATCATCGTTGGTATTATAGAGGATGCCCAGTCGACGTAGCTCCTGGCAATTCATAATGTGCGTAAGCATGCATCTATCTACGTGCCTGTCCTTCTCGACGCCACGCCAAGGTTCAAGTCGACAGATGCCTCGACCACACCACCAATTCGAGGGGTATGAGAATGATGACAGGAGGGTGGTGCTCAGGGATCGATGTAGTCGATGTCCCCGAAGAGACTGACAACAACGCCCAGCATCGCGGTATCGGGTATCAGACTCACGTCGTCTCCCAGCTCGCCCCCAAACATCACCAACTGCTCTTGCTCCAACCACCGCTTGTCCAACTCCGCGAGGGCTTTCTCCTCCGTTCTTCGAGCTTGCCACCGCTGCCAGCTCTGATCGAAGCTCTGGCGCAGGAGCGGCGAGGAGCGGGTCTTGTCAGACGGGAGCTGGATGGAGGCGTCGTGGGCATCGAGGAGACCTTCGTGGAGCTCGTACTGGAGGTTTGCTTTTCGGGTGAGGATCCGTCGACTTCTCGACCCGGGACGCTCTCGACGACGATTCTGCCGCTGTGGGGGGGCTGCGATGAGACCATCCGTTGCGACCATGTTGAGCGAAGTCTCGGTGTCGAGCAGAGGAAAGATATATATATGTATGTGTATATATATAATATATAGCGAGATTGGAGGTGGTGTCAGGAGATGAGAATCCAAAAGAGGTCTACGATGAAGAGACGATCCGGGCACAGGCCGGGCTTTATTTATACCTCTCTCGATCTGCGACAAATCATATATCTCAGAGTCATTCTCGTCGAGAGTCAGTCGAGTCACGGGATCTGACTCGACTGAAAAGGGGCGATGGCAAGATCTGACGATGCGACGACGACGACGGGTGAGTCAACAAGTCACCCGATCCGCTTTTGCAAGGTGGCGCTCGCTGCACGGGCACTTGGGTAGCCGAGGCTGAATCACAAGCAAGTCAAACAATAAACACGGATAGCAAAGCCATCGAGGGGAGGTTATTAGAAAGAAGAAAAAAGATTAATTTATGCCGTTACATAGTTTGAGATGCCGTCGAAAATGACTTGGGGTAGAGGTGCATACGGAGGCTCGTGGTCGGTTTGGGCCGCAGGTAGCAGTGGCTGTAGCTGCGGCGAATCAGCAGTCCGGCTTATACCATCCATACTGCTTGTTTACTTTGCTTAGTACTCCGCTTCTTGAGCTTGCCCATAGCGCACTGTACATAAGACCAGATGAAGTCTTTAAAAGGATAATTAATAATTTCCAAGATGGTTAATGTTGAGATATCTTGAGCTTGTATGAAATCTTTCTTCTTCTTCTTCTTCTTCTTCTTCTTCTTCTTCTTCTCCTCCTCCTCCTCCTTCTCCCAATCACATAAAAAATAACAAATCATATATCCTCTCAAACTCTCCCCCCCTCCCTCTCATCCATCTACCTGACCTTATAATCCCTCCCAGGCCAAATTATCCATCCAACCATCATCATCCCTGTAACGTCTTCCTCAACATCATATACCTCCCATAAACCAACAACACAAATCCCATCAGCAGCAGGGATTCATCAAGACTCTTTCTTCATTTCCCCTCCAATCCATCTAGCATAGACCATTGAAGAAAGCAATAGAAAGAAAATAAAAAACATTAACGTGTATATTAATCTTTGATATGTAAGTGTATATGTACCCATGCCGAAGAAAAGACGCCCGCGTTACCATCGCCATCGCCAGAAGTCCTTCGCCAGAGCCAGAAATCCATCGCCAGAGTCCAGAATCACAAGTCCATAGAGTATTTTTCTTCGGAAATGAGTGGGGAGAAGAAGGATGTTTTGGGGGGGGGGGCGTTGGTGTGTTTTGGTTTGTGTTATTTTGGTCTGGTTTTGGTGCAGAGAGAAAGAAAAGAGAGAAAGAAAAGAG